CGGGCGGAGCTCCCCCGGGTCCCGCCCAGCGCCCCCTGCCGGCCGAGGAAACCAACTGCACAGCACAGGGGCAAAGCGTCTCCAGCGCATCCTCCTGGGCCAGAGAGAACCTTCCCAGCCTCACAGTGTGAGTGAAAGGACATCACCGGTTGGTAACTGTGTCTCCAGGGGAAAATCAGTGAACGGCCACTACCAGCCACGCATGGGAAACGCGAAATCAATACCACTGTCATACCAAGGGGACTTTTCTGGGATTTAGGCAACCGCACAAAGAAGCGGCTCCAGCCAAGAGCCCTCGCAGAGCAGAGAGCATCCCTTGGTCTGCCTGCGAGGATTACACGGAGACATCAGCAGGGACTGCACTGAGTACCTGTGTGGGGCACTGTGGCACAAAAGAGACACATATGTGACTGAGTTGGATGTGCTAGGACTCCCCAGTAGCTGTCAGCTCTCTTCTACGCTGGCGTGGACGCTTGGTTCAGGCTCACCTGGCTCTGTTGCCTCCCCCCAGTGGCTTCTTCTTCGTCCTTGCCTGTTTCTGGGGCACCACACTTGATCTGCAGGTCGAGAGGGAGCCTTTGGAAACCAGACAGGCTGGTGACTCACCTATTCTGGGATCTCATATTTTGTAGTCAGCATCCAGTTTTCTTCTCCCCTGCTGTCACACACAAGTTAATTCTACCCTCTGTTTCCATAATCACTGTGTCTCTTCGTCCTATAAACACAGGAACTTGGCAGCAGTTCTTGGAGACAAGAACAGTAGTTACTAACATAGGAAGGATAATGCCAACAATGAGGCATTATTTTCAAGAAACTACAACAGTCACAGCCTGAGTGTCCAGGCTGCACACTGGACAGACACTTCAACTATTCAAACCCAATTCTTAGCTTCAGCAAGAAATCTCTCCATAGGAAGTCAGATAGAGGGAGCAGTGTAAGTTGAATTTTATTAGACAGAGGTGAATTTGATACATGTTACTCCTTAATTTTCCATTCTTCTTGTTCAGACGTGTTGAGTGTACAGGTTTCCCATTTTTTAGTCAAGAAAGAAAAACACATTGCACAAAGCAGCTGCATTCAACGATACAACAAGATACGTTATCATTATTCACTTGAAGACTAGAAACGTACCCAGAAAATTTTCAATCGTTCAGTATGCTAAAATATAGATAAAAAGAGTTACTTAGTGTTTAATGGTAAAATACATTAAAAAAATTCAGGCAAATCTAGAATGAAAACTAGTGACTTTCTTCAGTATGGCACCACTCTATTGTTTCAATATAAATTTGTAAAAGGCACCACACATTAAAACTGTAAAGCAAAGGAGAAAACAAAACCAAGCAAATTTCCATGATCTTCTTTCTGTACAAATACATATATATCTTAAGGCAGGTGTTTTTATGTGCAAAATACAAGTATACAGGTAAAACCAATGTTGGTACCATATATTCTCACTTCTTTTAGCTGTAAGGTTAGTGTCCAAATGTACAGTACAATGAAAACACTTTTCTCTAACAGAGCTCAAAATAGAAGGCAGGCTGGAAATATGGCCCTGATCACAATTAGGTTTTAAATCTGACGAGCTTTTCTGTAGACCCCTTAAAACATATACAAACAGTCATTCTCTTTTTCTTTTTGTCTCTTCCTTCAAAAAGGTCCATATCAACTTGTTCACTATGTCAGGTTGATCCTGCTGGAGCCAATGACTGGCTTCAGACAAAATAGTTAATCTGAAATGATTTTTAACATAAATCCTTGTAATTTCTGCCATCTCAACTTCCATAAATGCATCTCTTTCTCCCCATAACAGCAGGGTTGGCATGATGACTTCATGGTGCTGCAGAGGCAGGCAGCTTTAAAAACAAAACACACTCAGTTAGGTCTTATTTTAACAAAACCTCACCAAGACATATTTCAGTGAACCAAGCTTTTGAAACCAATGCAGTCAATCTCATTGCAAACCTTCTAGGTTTCAAGGTATCTTTTGCAATACCAAGGAAACACCGTGAGTCAAAGCTCTCTAATTGTTTTTAAGGATGATGGAATTGTTAGAAGATACTTTTACTGTAGCATATCCCTAATCAGCAGTTGATTGCAAGAGGTCTCATTTTTGGAACACACATGATGCTTCAGCTCAGGAGCCCTGTAACCTTTGTAAAGGGAATGTGGAACAACATGGCCAGAATTTTGTAGGTCACTTGCTTTCCCTTGGTTGATGAATGCTATGTCAAGTCTCTGAACCTGCTTTATTTACTGCAAATAGGTTTTATTGAGATGAGATGTGATGCTTTGAATTGCATTTAGACTACAGTGTTGAAGGCATCTAGTATCTGAGTAGCCAAACTGTCTTACGGAAAAGTATTTGTTCAGGAAGTGGCAGGTGCTGTTGTCAGACACTAAGGAAGATACCAGCTAGAGCATTTCAGACCTACTCAAAAGTAAACACAATGTAGTACAGCTAAAAATAAAAATACTTGCAGAAGAAAGATATTGTGTAGAACACTGATATCTGAAATGCTAAACTGAATTCAGTTATATTCACTCCTCTGTGAAATTCATGCCAACATTCAGAGTGTCTCAGAGTTCCCTTCACAAAGCACTACAGTATGTTTTTGAAGGCCTTGGACTTACATACCTACATCTGTATGCAGTGAAAGAAAACTGTTCCGTAAAAATTTGCTTTTCATGGATTCATAATCTCTTTAAAACTGCAACACCACAACCCAGAGCTTTGGCAGACTAGAACATGTTTAAAGATAAATACATTATAGGACATTTGAAGAATACTTTGAAGAAAAGCCCTTAGAAAGCAAAATTATGCTAAATATTATACTACCACAATTATTTAAAATAGAGTATTTATTATTTTTATTCTCAAAGTGTTTGTATCTAAAGTATAGTGAAGGCAATGGCTGCTGTGCTATTTATACAAGGATGTGTTGGTGATGGATGAAAGTAGGTTATTTCAATCATCTCTTTGGAAATAACTTTTCAGAAAAAATAAGCTCTGAAGAATCAAACTCCAAGTGGGTAGTAATGAGTTGGAAACCTTTAACACATAGGTGATCAGTACCAGCCCACTGGGAGTTATGGTGAATACAAGACATTATCATCCAAGTGCTGTGTAATGACTTGTGTGAGAGAAAGGGAAGATTTCAATCCAATTTTCATGTTTAATGATTCACATCCCCTAAGTTGTGACCCTCAGAACTGGTGTCCAGAATTGAATGGGCTGAAGACTAATCTTTTCTTTCCAGTCCAAAGCCTCCTGCATTGAGGCTGATAGCACCTCAAATGAAATTCTCTGAGTTCAGTACAAGTATGCTTTCACTGGAAAAATAAAGCAAGCAATGCACAAATATAAACAGGCAAACACACATAGGAATTAATAGCTGTGAAGATATTTCTGATTAATAACTGATACTTTTCTTGAGCCTGAAAAGGCCTGAACCAGTAGTTTAAACATGGTCAACTCTTACATTTGTCTCCTCTGACTCCCACAGCAATTCGACTATCACAGGCATTTCAGTGTCACTGTCAGAGAAGCATCTGGTTAATGTGCACACTCAGTGATGCGAGGTGCTGTGGCAAATGTAACGAACAGGGCTCTGGGCGCTCACGCCTCTCCAGCTCCTCATTAGCCCTACCCTGGGGGCTCCTGCACAGCAGTTGAGGCCAGAGAGCTGTGCAGCCATGCAGCCCTTGGACATCCCAGCTGATGCTATCGACCGTTCCCTGCACAGCTTTAAATAAGTAGACTGTTACCAGCACAGTCATCGTGTTTTTATTCCCCACCGTCATCCATGCTTGGTGTTCTCTTCCTGCTTTCTCATTCCAGTCTCGTCTCTTAGCCTGTACAACACAGCACCTAGCTCAGATCCCTGTTTCCCTCACGGTATTTCCCTGCTGATCCTCAGTGATGGCATGGAAGGCACAGAAAGATCAATAAAGGTGGCACTAAATTTGAACAAGGGAGAATGGAAAGGTTATCTACTTGTCATCCATGCTTGGTGTTCTCTTCCTGCTTTCTCATTCCAGTCTCGTCTCTTAGCCTGTACAACACAGCACCTAGCTCAGATCCCTGTTTCCCTCACGGTATTTCCCTGCTGATCCTCAGTGATGGCATGGAAGGCACAGAAAGATCAATAAAGGTGGCACTAAATTTGAACAAGGGAGAATGGAAAGGTTATCTACTTGAAGCATCTACTGCTTTAGGGAAATGAAAGAAGAGAATTCTCATTCTAAAGAATACTGGGAAATTGGCCTTGTGTTGGAAAAGCATGCAGGACATTTATCATTGCTGAAGACTGAAGACAGCAAAGGAAAAAAGAATTCAATCCTGCTCTTCTTGGTATAATCCTTCAAGTTAGTGCTATGAGTCATAAGCTGAGTGCACACAGTTAAATACCTTCTGGCTCTGTTAAGTTTTTGGTAGGTGAGAGGCAGGTGTCAGTCTCTAAGGCCAAGCCAACTTCTTCCAGGATCATTAGAACTGTTAGAAAACTGCTTGAGAACATAAAAATTAATCTTGCAAAAATGTTTGCTATTATGATGCTATCTCTGTTTTACTCTGTGAAGTGAGTCTGATAAGACCAATACAGGAGCAAAAAAAACCCCAAACCAAGTTAGGGTTAGTTTAAGGTTTAGTTACAAAAAACCCTACCATACCATTTTAAAAAAATAAATAGCTTAAACACAATAAAACCATGTCAGACATAGTTTTGTAAAGTTACAAGTGAGGGTAACATGCTTGGATGCCATATAATCTAGTAATATATAATAATAAGCTCCTGATAGACATTATAATTGGTTAATACAAACTGTAATGTAAAAAATTATTTGATGCTAATTTTGTGAGTATTATTTAGAGATGCATTTTTGGGATTGCTGTGGGTGCTGTGAAAGGGTCTTTGCTTCATTGGATTCTGAAACAAAGATTTTCCTTATCTGCACTCTGGTTGTTTTGCAGTTTGTGTGGGCACCTCATACCACACACTTGGCCTCACACTGCTTTACCTGACCTGTGCCTGGCACCTGGTGAGGCTTCAGAAACACAACTGTGGTTTTCTCCCTCTACATCAGGAGCCACAGTAACATTTCTGCGCTCCAGGGGACTCTCTACAGTATTTTCCCTTGACAGAGAATGTTATACTGACCTGAAAATAGTTCTGTAATGGTTAATGGGTCCTGTTAATGCTCCAGGTTGTGAAAAGACGTAGAGATATGCTTCAATATCCTCTGCTGTTAATCTGCAGCCTTTCCTTCCAATTCCAGTGGCCTGGCTAGTAAATAAGCTTTTCAGAACCTACAAAAGGAAAATAAAAAGCTATTACATAAGATAGCTAGAAAATCTGATTTCATTCCTTCAATGGGGCCCATCTTTCTAAAATCCATTTATACATATTTATAAATCTATTTATGTTCAGAGTATAATGAATGGTTCAAATGGATTTTTTGAGAGTTATGTGTAAAGCACATGGTAAACATATTTCTAATACGACTTCAGAAAAATCAAATACAGACCAATACTAGTATTATCAAGTTACTGAGTTCTGCTCCCTGTCAAAGGCCAGCACAGGCACATACTTATTTTTTGGGATGGACCCCAGAAGGTGACAGGGCAGGAAGGAGGATGATTTGTGACCCCCCAGGCTGGCTGTGCTGTGCACTGGGCTGTACTCATGTAGGAGGATATATGCCTGCAGCTGCTTTGTCCCTTTCTAAATGCCTGTGCTTACACTTTAAGGTTATTCAAGGTGTTGGCCCTGGTTCCTTGAGCAGAATTAATCACCTGCCTGAATTTGATGCCCAGACTCCTTGCCCCATAGCAGGCTCTGAGGGATAAAAGTATCTCCCACTGCCCACAGGAGCTTCAGATAAGCCATCAGGAGTTCCCTGGGCACCAACTGTGTCCCACTGGCATGGGCACAAGCAAAAGCAGCTGACTCTCTAGGTGGAGTAATGCACTGCAGTGTTGGAGGTTAAAAGTATGTACCTGAACACCTCCCAGAAATGCAAAAGTGAGAGTTAATCTCAGAGACTCTATGTGCTTATATCCTACTTTAAATAAAGCTGAAGAAGAACAATCAGAAAGCTCCATGTTTTTTCCAGTAATTGTAACTACATCAGAAGGGATCAATGTAGGTGGCAATTCTTCCATTACTCACAGTTAAATATATAAACAAGAGCATTCATTTTGCTCACCTTGAAATCATTTAGTGTAAACATGAATTCAGGAAACCATGGCATTTGGAAAAAGAAGTAGTAACCAGATTTAATCAATTGTGATGGATGTCGTAGAATGTATTCTGAAACAAAAATGCCCATGAATTAAAAATGAAAACTGATGACTCAAACAAAATTACTGTTAATATTACTATCTTTTTAAACTTAAAGGAATGTTTTAAAAATATTACATTAAAGCATGCTATGTGGCAAAAGATGATTATTGTTTCAGGAGTAAATATATGATGTGGCCATTAAAACATACTTCTTTTATAAATGCTAATAGAAACAGCCACCAAAACAAAAGTTGCCCTAAGATTAGGTGACAACAGTGACATTGGAGAGTTCAATCACATGACAGGTTTTCACTTAGAGATCTGTGTAGCTAGTCCAAAGCATTTTTTTCCAGCTGTGGAATAAAGGGCATAAACACAAGTCTGTAAGCCTTCCTCTCATCAGTGCTGTGATGCATAGAAATCTGCAGATGATGAACTGCTGACATTCTAATGACTGCATCACTCCTGTTCACAGAGGTACAGAATTTTTCTAACAGTTGTCTTCTTGGCAATTTCAAGAACCATAATCAAGGTTACACAGAGTCACTTTTTAAAGACATTGGAGCATATATAACAAAAGAAAATGATATAGACTTTTTTTTAACTGTAAATTTGTGTCTCCAGTGAATTGCAAGAGTCAACACCGACATTCAAATATATAACTTCCTCAAAGCATGCACAGAATGTGTGCAGTTATTAGGAAGTCTAGAACTTATCCTTCAAAGGTACAAATTCAGGAAGGCAAGACTGCATTCCCAACACAGCAGATCTCTCGGAAATAGTAATTCTGACAGTGAATAAAAATGGGGTTTATAACAATGCAAATTGAAGTTTCAGCTATCTTCTAAACTTTCACATTTTATACATTCCTAAATTGCATTACCTGTTGTATTTTTCCTTGAAGGACCATCAGCAGCACTGCTCAATTTACTTTTCTGCACAATTTATTATAAACTGTATTTTCATTTAATCCACAGTAGAACAAATTTGATCTAGGGAGACTTTATCAAGCTACAGAACAGATTTCATACTTTAATAAATACGTAAACAAATATTATAATAACATTGTAACTGTCTTCTCTAGAGCCTGGGTCCTGCTCTCAGTGAAAATACTGCACAGCTCCTGCTTGCTCAGGTGGTGAACAGACCTTTCCTTAGGTAAGTGTGGCTTAACTACCTGGCAAAATGTTCTTTAGCGTCTTAGAAAGGTGCCCAAGAACACTGTGAGAACAACATGTGTGGATGTTTCTGATTCCATGGTGGTGTAAGGTCAGATTCAACTGAAAAGAAAAAGCTGCACTGAATAGTCTCTTAACTATTTCTGAGGAAATGGGTGACTTTGAAATGGAAATAGGGTAAGGTCAGCAACTGAGAAACTAAAATCCGTGAGATACTACTTTCATTTTCATTACTGAATGTTGATATAATCCCTATGAAATGTTTTGTAATTCTGGGTAGTAGACATGCTCAGTCTATCACACAACCAATTCTGCTAGTGCACCTAAGTCCTTGTTTCAGCTCACTACTAGTACATTCCTGAGCATTTAGTAAGCAGCCTGGAAAGGCTGTCTTGTTCCAGTGAATATTGTACCAAATCATAAACTGTCACTTGTCACCTAAATCAGGATTTAATTCTACCATCTGATTCACACTTATACAAAGGCTAGTTTATGCAGATTTAATAATGCAGTGAGGCTTCAACCAAGGTGTAATACAATACATACCCCTCTTCAGGGAATTCTATTCTGCCAAAGTGGAATAAACCAGATTCATGCGTATGAAAATTATGTTTGTGGACCTTCAAGGATTAAGAAAAACATTGATAACTTTTGTTGCAAGCACTCTCACTTCCTACAATAATTTCCAAAAGTCAATACTTGATACCTTACTGCTTCATAAAATACAGTCCAGACTGTGAGAGGCATGGAGTGCTGGTAGATTATCTACTGAACATCCAAAGGGACAAGCTGTTGGTTCTCAGACCAAACACAATCACATTGAAAATGCAGATACCCTAAATTAACAAAGACTACTATAAAACTCACCTGTAAATACAGAAGGATGAGGAAAATTAACCACAATCAGCTTAGTCACCATTTCAGGGTAACATATAGCCACTAACCAAGCGATCATTCCTCCCCAGTCATGGCCAATCAACACACACTTGTTGTATCCTACCACATAAACACAGATTTTATTTCAGTGGAATTAGGTCCCATGGAAATTATCACATACAATAAAATCATGATTGGGACAAATATGTGGTTCAGAACATTCATTAATGTAATTTTAGTACTGCACTGCTTCCATTACTAATGGTCAGAAACAACAGTGCACTGCTATAGTTCAAAAATTTACAAATACTTAAAGTTATTTAATTGGACTTTAATTACACTTTAACTCTACTACGTCCACATCAGCCTGAAGTCACTCAGTATCCAGCCAGCCACCCTGTCCACATCTTGGCCAATGCAGGGGCAGATACACAGTTCAACTTGCAGTCATTATAATGCACATACATTTGTCATGTTTAGGGAGTTTGGAGTTTAAAACTGCAGACAAAAACACTGAGCATTTTCCTGAGCTCCCCTTGAACAAAACTAATCCTAATGATTTTCTCTGAATATAAGAGGTTATCTAAGCACTCAACACCATCATTATGCAAAACGTGGCCATTATACTTAATAGACGTATATACAGCATATATATACACACCCATTTATATACTCAGCAGGCCTGGAGCTTTTCTCCATAGGCTGCTTTGATGGCAATTTTTAAAGTTCCCAGCATTCACATATTTATTCTTCCATCAATAACAATGGTATTTTAACAGCAATAAAAGGGGCATGGAGGGATAACAACCGAGTTTTTGAAAGCCTAACCATTCCTTCTGTAACCACAGCTGGAACACATCCTGTAGTGTCAGATACCATCACCCTCCTCACTGAGGATTGGAATGTTGAGCATATACACTACAAATGAAACATATAAAAGCCAAGATGCTTAGAGTTCTGACATAAATTTGAACACAGTTGTCAAAGCACCCTATAAACCCTCTTGAACAGAAATCATCTGGAGCACTTTTGATATAATCAGGTTCTCCAAAAGAATTTAACTTGGGGTTAGAACAAACAAAGATAACAAGCCTTTGAAATACTTTTTCTGAAAATTTTTAAATCCCTATGAAATTGAATTATGCCAAGGCCACTTCTCAAGCATAGCCATGGCATTACCATGGAGATGAACACAACCAGCAAAGGTTGGAAAATGCAAACACAGTGTGGGGACTGCCTGCCCAATCTTCTGACAATATTCAGACATCACTAACAAAGCAAATCCTAAATTCAAACCCTCAGAACTGGAATTACTGCTTTACTACGTCTCCATATGAAATGCAGTACGTGGTTTCACTATCTCTAAAGTATCCAGGGAATTAAAATGATTCACAGAATGACAGTCTAATCCCTTGGGTTGCTATTGGTATGGAAGGGAAATACCCTTCATTCAGCAGGTGTGACGATGTATCGCCTGAACAGCAATGCTTCAAACCTGTACTGAGGGGCAAATTTTGCAGGCTCACTTCAACTCTAAACCATTACACTGTGCATCTCCCACAGGGAGCAGCATGTCCCTTGTTCTCCCTTCTGTTCTTCTCACTGCTGTGTAAGACAGAGTGATTCAGCTCTTGAGAACTGACTACTGTGCAGAAGTAGTATTTTGGGAGGGTTTGTTGCTCATTTTTTAATAGAGCAGATGTGCTTTTATAATTTTTATAAAGCCCACAGTATTTATTCTGTCTTGTTTGTACCAGAAAAAGTCCCCTGATTTAAATTCTATGGCCTGTGAGTGCTATTAAAATATAATTCAGAACCTTATCCACTGAGTGCAAGAACAGGAAGTCAGGAACAAAGACCTTCTTAGGGAAAAAGACCACAGGTTTGTACTGCACATAGGAAAGGGTTGGTTTTAAAGTCATGATGGAAAAGGCATCTTTACATATTGTTTATACTGACATACACATCATAATTAGAAAATAACCCTTTTTCATTTATAATAGTCCATAAAATATAAGTATCCTTAGATTTGTATCTACATTTATCTGTGATGTGTATGTATCAAAAAGACTGCAATTAAAAACAACAATGCTAGGTCTTTATCTCTTTTTTCCCCCCAGAAAACCAAGTCATTTATGAGCCAAGTACGTTGTCTTCTATTAACGCACCTAGACATTCCAAAATATCCTTTATGTCTGCTATCAGGCAATCTAACTTGTAATTTTCCTTGTGAGAAGGAGCATCTGTTTCTCCATAACCTCTCAAATCCAGGGCCACCACTCGATATTCACTCTTAAATTCCCGCAACTGATGGCGCCAAGAATACCTAACAAAGGGGAAAAAAGTTGGAGTTACAAGGTCAAGCAGTATGATACCAAAATGCACTCAATGCTTTTGCACCCAAAGAACTGAGGGTAAACTCGCACAGCTTTGTTTGCAATGAGATTCCTTTTCTTTTCTGTGGGGCACTGATAGTCCTTTGTGGCTGCAGTAGTTTCGTTCTCCCTTCTGGAATTCCCCAGTAAGGAAGTGCAGCTGCAGGCAAGGGGGCATGGCCAGAGCAGGGGTGTTTCAACAGCTCCTGGAGCCTGGCACAACCCCTTTGCTGCAAAGGATGCAGGCATAACCCAGAGCACAGAGAGGACTATTCTGTTTCATCCTTGGAGCCATAGTATCATCAAAAAGTAAGGTGTGAAAAGCTTTCTCTTTTCCCTGGTCACACACACACATTTTGATGGAGCAGAGAAGCATGCCTCAAGGCATGGTTGATTTTTTTTCAGTTCAGAAAAAGAATGTCAGATAATTCACACACTAAATAAACCAAAGGAAGAAATTCAATGAATAACAAATGAACTTGGTGAAAATTATAGGATTTATATAATTTATATTATAGAGACACTTTCATCTGTGTCTCTGTACTCCCAGAACTGTTCCAGAAGGAGCTCTCTCAATGCGTTGGTACTACACAAATTATTTCATTCCTTGTGTTTCTATGGAAAAGAGGAGGGATAGCATTACAACATTAAAAGACATGTAAAATTAGGAACTCGGGCCAAGGCCCGGGCTATTCCTCATTCTGTAATAGTATGTAGTGACTAGATGTGTTATGAAACAAAAATAACAAGAAAACGGTGGGTCTCATCCTGCAAGAACTACCTGCCCTTTGGCTGTTAGTGAAACCAAATGAATTTCAGAATAGCCAGTACCAAGACAGACATGGCTTTATCTTACACTGTAATAGCAAGATGTATGAAAAACATGATCCTTCTAGGCATATATAACAGTGGCTGCTAGGGTCTGGCTTTTCCTTCTGCTTTTTTCAACAGTCTCAGATAAAGGATATGTAGCATTTGGATCATCAGTGCCTGTAAGTGATGCACAGAATTCTAGCTTAATCCAAACAGTGTCTGTATCAGACCATTGGCTCTTTTCGCTTCAGCTTTGCCTCCAGCCCATTAGGGGCTTTGAACATATATTACAGTAACACTCAATGATATGAATCTGTATTCATATGTACAATACAGTCAGAGCATTTTCATTTCGGTGCCACATAATGCAAATACAAGAGTTAGCTGAGATCTCCAGGAATGAATTTTTTAAAGGCATTATATAATGACTTGGAAGCTGAATTTGCCATGGTAACTGTTGCAGCTATTCTATATACTTCAGTGAGGAGAAACAGCCAGGCCCATAAATAAATAAATAAACCATTTTTGTTTTCAGAAAATGTCTACTTGCTATCCTCATCTTCTGGTTTCACAACAATCCATCAGTCACCAAATGTCTGACCTACCAAATGGGCAGGTTTTATAGTCAGAGAAATCCTTTTATCACATACAATATGTAACTACTGGACAACTGCTTTGGAAGCAGAATCTGGAAACATTGTGAATGCTTTCATGTTCATAAGGTTGAATCATGGAAACTATTTTGAGACTTTCTGATCACATCATTTCTAAAAGGCAATTTGTACAAAATTTAGCAGCTCGCACACACATCCTGGAGGTACCCAGCTGTCTCGGAACATTATGCCCAATTTCAAGTGTTTTATTATTGCCTTTACTCAACATTGGTATTGATTTTCAAGTTCTTATGCATCTAAAGCACTTAATGGCTCTGATGCATTATATTCTTAAGTGATCTTTTATCTTCAGACATTCTCTATGATTCACTAAGGTCAGTATTGTCTGGTTATATTCATCTTATTTATAACCTTGAGACATTTAAAGGCAGGGGATTTGTTACAATTAAGAACTGTAACTGTGGATCATATCCTTTATATTTTCCTAGAAAAATGCTACAAATTTGATGCTGCTTTAAGTATCTCTTCAACTGTGGTTATTTTATCTTGTTCCCTCAGAACAATCACTGCATAAAAAATTCTTCACTGATGGAATGAACAACCCAACACAAGCATTGGTAGCATGACTGTTTTACAGCCTATCAGCCTGTAGTCTTCTTTATATAAACAGTGCTATAAACTATGCTATTACTGGTCCCAGTGACCTATATAACAGGTTTTTATTCCTCACTTATGAATGATCAGATAATACAATATATTAGCTGCCACTTATAGCATGACTCACCATTCTCAACTGCAAGAATAGCTTTCTGCTTTTTGAAAATAATACAGTGGATCTCAACAGAATATGTATATAAAATGCTAATTTTCCCATTACTATTCCCCCTGGAGGGGAAATCAGCTGAAGTCTTGTTGCTTTACTGTGTTAGAATATGCTTTATATAAGGTATGCATAATGTCTGCATAGAATATGTATCCCCATCTAATGTCCTTTCAATCAAAGTTTACAGTTTTAATAATTTTAGATGTCAGTTTATTATTAGAACAATCTACTTCTTTGAAAATTTATCTTAAAAACGTGACTCTCTACCTTCACCCTCAAGGTCGTGACTATCTGTAGGAAATTGCTAAGGGAAGAGAATTGACCTCTCTTTTACCTGGGTCAGTTTATCATGGTATGACCTGAGTCCAGCTTGAAAGATCACAATTCCAACAGTGGACCCAAGATCCATATCTGAGTTTAGAAAGGAAAAGGATCATTTAACTCGCTGAATTACTGGCATTAGCACTTCCCTTATTCCCTTTTTGTTCTTTTCCCTGCGAGTTGTGTGAGCCATGCTTCGCTGGTTAAACCTGACAATGACAGCCTGAGCAATTTGGTTAAATCATTAGACACATGACTGCTTTTCATTGTTATAAACAAACACTTAGGATTGGGTTGGATTCATCATTCATCTTGTGATGAACTAATAATAGAACCTTTTTCCCTGAGTAGCATTCTGAAATTAGGCTGCACAATAGCCTATAGGACTCATAGTTCTTCTTCCCCTCCACCAGTTAAAAATTAATATATAGTATTTTTAATAACTGCAACAATCCATATTGCACTTAGCATATAATGAATCCTTATTTTAACACCCTCTGCCGTAATTCATAAGTTTAGCCATATAGTATGAGTGCTATCCAAACAGGAAATTTATTAAAAATGAGCAGTTCCTCCCCCAAAGTCAGAAGAAAATGTACATACCTGGGGGAAAATGGATTGACAATGCAAAAAAAGGTGGTTGGTTTGTGTTAGTGTGCAGGAACATTTTGCAGATGCTGCAGTTAAAAATGCTTCAGTGGTCTTTTGTCTAGTAAAACCTCATGCCATGAGTAAATACTCATAAATACTCATAACAGATCGCACTGAGAATACTTAAGCTGAGACGTTCACTCTCAGGTATCTTATGCGGCCTCTTTTATACAAGAAAAGCACGTAGGGAGTTTTACCAGAATTCTGGAAAGCCATGAAGCAGCAGCATGAGTGGTTTGCCCCTTTCTCCAGCAGCCACATAGTGGAATCTTAACCCTGAATCCTGAAATGAGAGAAAAAGAAGTATGTTTTTATTGCTGCATAGAACTGCTATTCTGGGATTTGAGAATGAGGATGGTTTCAGACAATATTCTAAGAAACAATTTATTGCACCTGAAAAAAATATCAGATTATCAGTTTTGAAGCTGAAGCCTTCAGCACTTCTGAGATCAGGTATCTGCTACACCCTGGCAATGCTGAGCATCTCACAGCCTGGTCACCACAGCTTCTTCCAGGGAGGACCATCTCTAACACGTGCCAGGCTATGTGACTGTGCTGGTCCAGCCACGAGCACACTAACACTCCTGACAGAGCACTGCCTGGCACAGAGACTGGGAAATGCACCTTGCTTTCACACACACACCAGGCATGTGCTTTACAGAAAGACTTTTAAGACACAGTATACTTTAAATGCACGTTCAGTCTTTCAGTTAGCTTCTAGGAGTATGCAACTATTTAAGACCACCACATTGCATGCTGGCATGATAAACAACCTCATGGATTCTTAAGAACCAAAAGCAATCAAAATGAAGCAACTAGAAAGCAAGTAGCTTTTGCTAGTTTTTACTGTTCATGGTTTCAGACTGACTTGAGAAAATTAAGCGTTTGTGTTATTATCTCCCTTCTGCCCTGTCTGTAGTCACTGTTTCTGATGCACCTTTTAAGAAAATGGGTGTTATGAGAATTGCAGGCAGGCAAGTTACTTATTGCACAGGCTGAACACTGAAATGCTATTGAAGTGAATGGATGTACACAAGCTTACACTGACTCAAGGTCAAATCCAGTAGAATTTAAATAAACTGAGGTTATGACCTAGAGGTTTTAGTTAACAGAAGTAGATACAGAAGTTGTGAGTTAGCTCACAAAATACTGTTTAGAAGTCATGTGAAAGAAACTGCAGGAGGAAAGGTTGTGCAGTGCCTGAACAAATGTCAGAGCCTGCACTCTCTGCTATTTCAAAAGGGAAAGAAATCCCCCATGCCTTTGCTGCACATCAAGAGCTAATACCAGGCCAAGGATCACAAATGCATACAAAAAGGTTTTCTTGCCAAAGATGCTTGAAATGCCCTGAGATATCTTGGCACTGATAAGTCACCAACCAGCTGCAAAACCATTAGCTTACATGCTGATTCTGGAAAGGGCTCCAAAGAGGGAACTGTTTGGATTTTTTATACTTGCTATGGATATAATAGGGAATTGTCTTCAGTTTTGCCCCAAATTACACTGGTATTTCACCTCTGGGATGCCAATGAACTTGAAGTCCCTAGAGGTAAAAGTAAATTCCTAGTAAATTTTGGGGCCATTACATCATTTGTTCCATTCTCCAGATCACTCTACCTTTGATCCTCTCATATTTAAAAATGTAGAAGTTTCTGAGTTTCCTTCCACAGTTTCTCTTCTCAGTTTAGCGAGTAGTGGTTAAGCCCTTCTCCATCCCACTTTTCAGTTAGTGTCCTCTAGGGATTTACCCTCAGTGTTCTTAGTTTAACAACCTATTTATTCCTTTTAATGACATCCCCTTTACTCATACAAATTCAATCACTTGTACAGCAGCAGTTTAAATGTCACATACCCCAAACTAAGCCCATCCTCTAGCTTTTCAGTTGCTCCTTTCTGTCCCTTTTTTCCATACCCCAAAACACACATAGGATGTTGCCATCTTTTCTGAAACTGCTTTCTTTGTTTTGTTGAAATCTGAACAGATCTGTAGGATGTGTTTGGAAAGTAATCCATTAGCCTGCTATCCAAGGGCAAGAGTTTGTTTCCTGAAATGAGTGATCGACTGTCATATTGACAGCAATTCGATTTGCCCCCAAATGCTCTTCTATTCCTGTCATACCCCTCTCACTTCCCCAGCAGTCTGTTCATTTACTGCTTCGTGCTGCAGGAAAAAAAGAACTTGTCATATGAGTAAAAAAGCCCACACATGCCCCCTAATGATGTTAGCAAAAGAAAACAAGCAAATTATGAGAAACTGAGGCTCGATAATTTATATTAGTACTGCCTGGCATGAAACCATCTGCACAGATCCCTGAGAACTGATGTTTTCGTGCTTATTTAATTGAAAACAGCACTTGGCAAAATTTGCTGTACACTCTTTGCTCGTCTCTAATTGCAAAGGAAACCTAGCTAATACAACTTCATTTAGAGCATCTAAAGGAGAAAATAGCAGGCAGAGACCTGAGACAAGCACAGAAATTGACTGGTGGCTTTAACTGTACACCCTTAGGGACAGCTCTTAGCTTCTTCCCCTACGTTTTCTCTGCGAACCTGACACGCAGAACGAGCTCCAGGGTGCAAGTGGGCAAACCGTAAATAACCGCGAGAGCCGAGGAGGTGCTGGGGGCTGCGGAGGGACCCGGGGCCGGCAGAGCAGCACACGCACAGGAGGGCAGGAGGGCAGGAGGGGTGCGATACACCGAGCAGCACGCAGAGGAGGGCAGGAGGGGTGAGATACACCGAGCAGCACACAGAGGAGGGCAGGAGGGCAGGAGGGGTGCGATGCAGAGAGCAGCACGCAGAGGAGGGCAGGAGTGCAGGAAAGGTCCATGCTGGAGCAGCACGCGGAGGAGGGCAGGAGGGCAGGAGGTGTGCGATGCAGGGAGCAGCACGCACAGGAGGGCAGGAGAGGTCCGTGCCGGAGCA